TACAATACCAATCACGTCTTTTTAGGTCATACCTAAAACAGCATCGAGGTGAACCAATGAGCTGTGGACGACGATCATCTTGCAAGGATGCTCTTCCGAAAAAAAAAATAAAAAAGTCATTCATGTATTATTGAAGGCGCCTCGTCTCGTAGCTTTGATTGAGTGTCTGCTGGTGTTGACGGCCTAAGGCGGCGTCGGCGAATTTGACAGTCTCGACAGCTTGAATGCATACGATGAGCGCAAACGCGGCAAATGGCGATTGTATCCTCGCAACGTGTTGACGGATCATTTGGACAACAACGGCGGCGCTCAAACAGGAAAGCAACAAGCGCGCACGCTCTGACTAACGCGCCTCTTTCAAAGGCGTTTGAGTTTGACGACCAAGCAAAGCATCTGGCGTGACTACTGCGTCGAACGTGTTATTTGTACAATAAAAATTGTACAACATGACAGATGAGGGCGAATTACTAATTGGACCTGTAGCTCTGTACTCACTAGAGTATTATAAAATGGACTTAAGTGTGCAGAAATTATAAAATAAATAGCTTGTTGCTGACTGTGACTCTTTTTTTTTTTTTTTTTTTAAATCAAATCATCTGTCAGGTATTAATGTTTAACGTAAAATGAGTTTGGAATGCTATTCACGTGGGATCATATGTTGTGGTGAATGTACGATTACAACGATCGATATAGGCCATCGCGAATACATTTCAAAGGGAGCTGGAATTCGAAATTTGAGTTCGGTGGATGTTCTTTTCAGCAAGCTCAAGCGTGACAGTTTGGCGTTTATTCTGTTTGTACAAAATGAACTACTTTTCACAAAGTGCAATTTCAAGCAACAAAGGGTTACCTGGGCTCTTAGCAAATTTTGGGGTCATATAACATTGTGTGGGCCATGATACATTTTTTTCATCTCATCCTTTTTTTTTCAGGTTAAACCAAACAAACAAGATTGCCGAGATGCAACAATATTCGCAAATATGACATCATTATGGCGCTCTCATTTCCAATAGCATGCTACCCATATTAGCGAGCTCAGGAGTGTAAAAGAGGTGCTATTTGCTTTACGCAGCTGCCTGTTGGCCCCGGCCTACATTTCCTCTCCGGATCGGGGCGAGGCAAAGAACTGTGCAAACGCTCTTGCTCGCTCAGCTCGTCTGAATGCAAAGCAGCTGGCTGGTGCTCTCCCGTCTGCCCTCTTACAGCAAGTTCACAAATTCAGGCTTGGGGGTCGAGTCTCCAGCCGGCGCTCTCGCGGGTACCACTCAGGACCGCTCGCTGGGTGGCTCGGCACGTCAGCCAGCCGGGGATCGGGAGATCATTATCACCGGAGAGCACTGTTCTCCCTCTCCCCGCCACAACAAAACGCTTTCGCTTGCCTTTGATCGCATGCCAGAGCTGATTCTTGCTCACTTCTGGGCATTCTCACCCAGGAAGTGCTCACACTTGAGGCCAATTTCAAGCGCGGGTAAAAATACCCCGCTGCTCTGTTGATGAGATGGGAATGTATAAATTAACGATGAGGCATCTTTCCTGAAAATGAGGATGCTTATCCCAAAACTGACAGTTTTAAGAGATTAAGAGTTGCTGTTTTTTGGGGGTTTTTTTGGCTTGCAGGGGCAAGCGAGCTGAGGAAGTTAGGCGCTTGGCTACTGTGGAATATCCGATTAAAAATGTACTTGAAGGGGTGCGACGACATCCAAACCGGGACAAAGTTTTGATGATGTCACACCAGCAACTTTTGAGATGGTTTTCATCAAACTCCACTTTATGCTACGCCTTTGTGCACAGATATTTGCATGGACGTTGAAGAAAGCTGGATGGAAAGTGGATTCAGGTTTGACAACGCAGAATCAACACTGTCGATATAACGAGATTTTTGGGGAGTTTGGGTGGGGGCTTAGAGGTACAGTAGGAACATTTTGTTCACTTGGGATCGTCACTCAAGATATCTGTGCCACAGTTGTGATTAAATCCAAAACGACAAATGGGGATAACCAGAATTCGGTTTTATCTCGTCCAAGATTAATGACAGACATACCGATTTGCCGACGGCTGGTGATGTCAAATTGCCTGAAGTGTGAATCTTTGTCTCTATGTGCCTTGTCATTGGCTGACGACCAGTCCAGGGTGTGTCACGCCCTCTCGCCCAATCTCAGCTAGGATAGGATCTAACACACTCGCAGCCCGAATGAGGACAAGCGCCATCGACGATGGATGGACAATTTCATTTAGCACGAACGCCGTTGACTCGCGACTTCCCCTTGTTGCGAACTCTGCTAATTTCTAGTGTACTGCAGTCTGGGCCATGGGGGATCTCTTCATTAACAAGGGTCAGTTTTGCACTATGTCGTCTTTATTCATGCCGTTTCATGCAATCACCTGTGCAGCAAACCTTCCTGTTCATCCTCTCACCACCTCACTAGTTTGTATGCGGGGAAAGAAACGGAATGAAAGAACGCAGACTGTAGGAGGACTCTACGACTCCCTTAATTTCATCTGAAAAGAATTCTCTCCAGACCTGGAATAATTTTATATTCCCGGTTTGTGTGTTTTAACTGCAGTTACTCCTGCCAATGGCCTAATCAAGTTGAAAATTCATCAGCAAGATGGCAGAGGAAAATGCTGTATTCAACGGCGCCGTCTTCCATCTGCCGTGTGAAAGCGAGATAACAGTATTTGCGGGTTTTACAGTGGTGGCAGACTGTTTTCGGACAATTTTTTTTTTCTGCACTGCCAAGTTGCGCTCACGTTATAAAATGTCACGGATTAATGCTTCCACTCGCCGTCGTGTCCGACTGCACTTCCTGCTCTCACACAAAGAGGGCAAACTCGCTTTCAGAAAAGATTTTACAGCGCAGGGCATCTCAAAGAAGTGTCATTACCAAGAGCTGGCCAAGTGCTCGACCGCAACCATGACGATGCGGCAGGAATTTCTGGCAAATGCTGGCAATTTAGTATATGTGACAACAATCGCCGATCTTTGTCAATTAGCTGTGACATCGGTGAATTGTTTTTGCAAGAAAAGAAAAATGTGGGCAGATGAGTTGTACACAATCTGTTATCTCTGTGGCTGGTGGTCATAATTATAAATTATACGAGCAAGATGAATATGCATGCACTGTAGCTGGGGAGGAAGCAAACAAACTCTGCCTCACTTTTCAAGAGCGTCTTTTATGGCCCAGAAGGAAGCCAGCTTGGGGAAGCAGAGGCAACGCGGGACAAGCAGAGAGCATGAAAGCATGAATTAGTTAGCGAATGTTTACACTGGACGCGCGCCTCCTGCATGAGGCGTTCCGCAGGGCTTTGCCGAGGTAAATTACTGACAGCCAAAAATCGGGAAAGACAACAGACTACGGTCGTCAACGGAGGCTGCCATGTTCCATTTAAAACGACACCACACTATTAGTTTGTTGGAGATGAATTGGCCCACAAGGCTCTGAATGGACTGAGAATTACGGGACTCTTTCAAAAAAATAAAAAACAGAAGCAAACCAAAAGCAGCAGCGTTCTCTTATTCATCTCCTGAACTGTAGAACAAACTTCACGAATTTAAGATTTGTGCAAATTTCTATTTTTTTTTTTATAAATCAAGAATATTAGCTCTCACTTTCAAGAGCTCGCTTTTATTTTGTGATTTTTTTTTTTTTTAACTTTATCATCAAGGAGGGCCACTTCCTCGGCTTCATTAAATCAACTTGACTGTTTTGTTTTATGTTTTCCCGTTTCATCATTTTATTTCTGAATTTTATCCTAATTTTCTACTTCAACCTTGTTGTCATATATCAAGAATATTAGCTTTCACTTTCAAGAGCTCGCTTTTATTTTGTGATTTTTTTTTTTTTTTTACTTGATCATCAAGGAGGGCCACTTCCTCGGCTTCATTAAATCAACTTGACTGTTTTGTTTTATGTTTTCCCGTTTCATCATTTTATTTCTGAATTTTATCCTAATTTTCTACTTCAACCTTGTTGTTTTTTTTTCTTTTTTTTAGCACTATGGATGATATCGTATGACCGGTGGTATACAAATAAAATTGCCTTCTCTTTTTCGGGTCACTGAGAACTGGAGCCAATTTCATCTTACTTAGGGTGAAAGGCAAACACCCAGCGTTTTGTTTTATGTTTTCCCGTTTTATCATTTTATTTCTGAATTTTATCCTGATTTTCTACTTCAACCTTGTTGGGGTTTTTTTCCTTTTTTTTTGCACTATGGATGATATCATATGACCGGTGGTATACCAATAAAATTGCCTTCTCTTTTTCGGGTCACTGAGAACCGGAACCAATTTCATCTTACTTAGGGTGAAAGGCAAACAAACACCCAGGACTGGTCACCCAGTCAATCACAGGCCCAGAGAAAAAGAGAGCGGACACCTTTTTGCGCTCACTTTCACACCTATGGACAATACAGTCTGTAATGAACATAGATGCATGTTTTGGGGATGTGGAGAGCAAGCTGGACTGGCCAGATTAAAAACGTGAACCTCAAAACTGTCAGGCAGACGAGCTAACTACTCATCCATCCATCCATCTATTCGTTCATTTTCTGACACACCTTCAGTAGAAGGGTTCACGAACGTTCACTGATTGGAAATTGAACCTTGTCGACCCGGAAGTCAAGCCAGCTGCACCAATTAGTGACTTTGCAAGACAACAACACTGAACTAATTGTGGCCGGTAGCAATGAGGCTAACAGGCTAAATGTCTTCTTTTATATTAATTTTATAGTCATTTTCGACGTGATGAGCGTCCACCATCGAATAAGATCCAATGCGAAAAAAAAAACCTATTAAAATGCTATTAAACTGTCCTGCATCATACTCTTGGCCATCTGCGTGAACAATAGGGTTGCAAGTAAATGCACACATCACAACGTATAGCGCAGAAACCATCCACAGTTTTTAAATAAGGTGTTGTGAAAACCCATGGTAAGAATTATATGTCCAGATCTTATATTTAATCGTTATGCGTGCAGTCACTCGAACGGCCGAACCTTACCTTGCTCCAGTAGCCGCAGAGAGTGCTGGAAAGCCGGGTCCAGCATTTCCTTCTCCGCCTGAAGTTCCGGCAAGTATTGTTCGCTCCCCATGTCGTCCCTGCCCACCCCCCCCTAGAAAACCCCTCTTCAGGCGCACTTCGGGGAAAACTTGGACAAGCTTCGAGCGGTTCCGTCGTCCAAAAAAAAAAAAAAAAGGAGAAAACGACGTAAGTCTGGCGCTAGAAGAGCATTTTCTTCCCCTCCGGTCCTGGTCTCGCTCGCGCGCACACGCAGAGATGCAAAAAGGATGAATTGGGAGCTTCAATGTTGTTGTATTGATCCCATCCGAGAGAATCTACGCCGCGTGCACCCCGGCAGCGTTTGCCCTTCTCCTCTGTGGGCGGACAGTTTGCCTGAAGCTCGCCACCGACCGACCCAGCGGGGGAAAGCGACGCCTCCCGATTGGACGGCGGGAAGGAACGAAGGGGGCGGGGCCAATGGGAAGAACTGTCCGTCTTGCTGAATCGTGCCAGCACATGCAGCGGTACTTTGACCTACAAACTTAATTCGTTCCTCGTCGGCAATTTCTTTTCGTGTCTCCAAAGTCGCTGCGAGATAGCAGTCTTCCATTTGTTCACGTGTAAGTTAAACTCCGCAAGATCTTTCCGGCTTCAGGTGTTGGGGAGTCAGTCGAGGGCAGGCGAGACAGCCGCTCCATGACAAAATAAACATGACAAAAGCTACATTTTCCCAAACTTTTTTTTTTTTAATCATTTGACTGTTGACCTCACAACACGTTATGGTGGGTAGCTGTTGTTTGATGGTCAACATATTGTCGGTACACGTGGATCGGTGCCGTTGGGAGTTTTGCTAAGCGGATAACCCAGCCTCTGTGATGAAGAGCCATAAATCAGATTGAGTTGAATGAATTCCCTATTTTGCGAGATGAAACTGGTCTGGAAATGACTGCGCACATTTCTTCTTTGAACCGCTTGAGGAAAATGAACAAGCAGAAGCCTCCCGCGTCGCTGCGATTGTCCTCTTAGCTTACTGAAACCATTGATCGCTTGGAATTGTACGGACATGTTGTCAATAGTTCTCCGGGAATCCAATCACCTTCTTGCAGGTCGGGCGTGTTTTACCAACAGCCGTGTTTATGAATTAATGAAATAAGAAGACAAGAGGTATACGTTTGTTTTTTCGAGAACAGTGTGATGAGGCGGGATGCGAAGCCAATTTCCTTCCTATTTTTTCTGCAAATAGTTCTGTCTTTTGTTGGCGGATCCTAAACAAGCTCCATCATTCTTAGAAGGTGTGCAAAAGAGATAAGAATACTGTCAATATTTGCAGAGGATGCTGAGATAGCCTCGGGTGGGTGGATATACAGTTCTGTATCTGTAGGCCGATCGACACCGGTTACATAATTGCTTTCTTTTCTCCTCCTTTCATAAATTTTGTGGCGAATATGCGACACAGAGGCGGAAACCAAGAGGGAAATACGTACCCTCTTTATAAATTGTGATGTGTGAGACGGCTGGTGCGTTTTTTTATCTTCTTTAGCTTGTTAGACGCGCAAGCAGTCGGATGGTAACTTATAAAAGCTCCGCAAGTGCTTTAATAAATACGTGCGGGTGCTAACGGTGCGTGATTAACAAAACTGCAGCCACCGAGAGACAAGCTGCTCCTCTTTATCCATGTAACTTCTTGTCTGAGACCACCCCCCCCCCCCCAGACGAGCTAACTACTCATCCATCCATCCATCTATTCGTTCATTTTCTGACACACCTTCAGTAGAAGGGTTCACGAACGTTCACTGATTGGAAATTGAACCTTGTCGACCCGGAAGTCAAGCCAGCTGCACCAATTAGTGACTTTGCAAGACAACAACACTGAACTAATTGTGGCCGGTAGCAATGAGGCTAACAGGCTAAATGTCTTCTTTTATATTAATTTTATAGTCATTTTCGACGTGATGAGCGTCCACCATCGAATAAGATCCAATGCGAAAAAAAAAACTATTAAAATGCTGTTAAACTGTCCTGCATCATACTCTTGGCCATCTGCGTGAACAATAGGGTTGCAAGTAAATGCACACATCACAACGTATAGCGCAGAAACCATCCACAGTTTTTAAATAAGGTGTTGTGAAAACCCATGGTAAGAATTATATGTCCAGATCTTATATTTAATCGTTATGCGTGCAGTCACTCGAACGGCCGAACCTTACCTTGCTCCAGTAGCCGCAGAGAGTGCTGGAAAGCCGGGTCCAGCATTTCCTTCTCCGCCTGAAGTTCCGGCAAGTATTGTTCGCTCCCCATGTCGTCCCTGCCCACCCCCCCCTAGAAAACCCCTCTTCAGGCGCACTTCGGGGAAAACTTGGACAAGCTTCGAGCGGTTCCGTCGTCCAAAAAAAAAAAAAAAGGAGAAAACGACGTAATGTCTGGCGCTAGAAGAGCATTTTCTTCCCCTCCGGTCCTGGTCTCGCTCGCGCGCACACGCAGAGATGCAAAAAGGATGAATTGGGAGCTTCAATGTTGTTGTATTGATCCCATCCGAGAGAATCTACGCCGCGTGCACCCCGGCAGCGTTTGCCCTTCTCCTCTGTGGGCGGACAGTTTGCCTGAAGCTCGCCACCGACCGACCCAGCGGGGGAAAGCGACGCCTCCCGATTGGACGGCGGGAAGGAACGAAGGGGGCGGGGCCAATGGGAAGAACTGTCCGTCTTGCTGAATCGTGCCAGCACATGCAGCGGTACTTTGACCTACAAACTTAATTCGTTCCTCGTCGGCAATTTCTTTTCGTGTCTCCAAAGTCGCTGCGAGATAGCAGTCTTCCATTTGTTCACGTGTAAGTTAAACTCCGCAAGATCTTTCCGGCTTCAGGTGTTGGGGAGTCAGTCGAGGGCAGGCGAGACAGCCGCTCCATGACAAAATAAACATGACAAAAGCTACATTTTCCCAAACTTTTTTTTTTTTAATCATTTGACTGTTGACCTCACAACACGTTATGGTGGGTAGCTGTTGTTTGATGGTCAACATATTGTCGGTACACGTGGATCGGTGCCGTTGGGAGTTTTGCTAAGCGGATAATCCAGCCTCTGTGATGAAGAGCCATAAATCAGATTGAGTTGAATGAATTCCCTATTTTGCGAGATGAAACTGGTCTGGAAATGACTGCGCACATTTCTTCTTTGAACCGCTTGAGGAAAATGAACAAGCAGAAGCCTCCCGCGTCGCTGCGATTGTCCTCTTAGCTTACTGAAACCATTGATCGCTTGGAATTGTACGGACATGTTGTCAATAGTTCTCCGGGAATCCAATCACCTTCTTGCAGGTCGGGCGTGTTTTACCAACAGCCGTGTTTATGAATTAATGAAATAAGAAGACAAGAGGTATACGTTTGTTTTTTCGAGAACAGTGTGATGAGGCGGGATGCGAAGCCAATTTCCTTCCTATTTTTTCTGCAAATAGTTCTGTCTTTTGTTGGCGGATCCTAAACAAGCTCCATCATTCTTAGAAGGTGTGCAAAAGAGATAAGAATACTGTCAATATTTGCAGAGGATGCTGAGATAGCCTCGGGTGGGTGGATATACAGTTCTGTATCTGTAGGCCGATCGACACCGGTTACATAATTGCTTTCTTTTCTCCTCCTTTCATAAATTTTGTGGCGAATATGCGACACAGAGGCGGAAACCAAGAGGGAAATACGTACCCTCTTTATAAATTGTGATGTGTGAGACGGCTGGTGCGTTTTTTTATCTTCTTTAGCTTGTTAGACGCGCAAGCAGTCGGATGGTAACTTATAAAAGCTCCGCAAGTGCTTTAATAAATACGTGCGGGTGCTAACGGTGCGTGATTAACAAAACTGCAGCCACCGAGAGACAAGCTGCTCCTCTTTATCCATGTAACTTCTTGTCTGAGACCACCCCCCCCCCCACTCTCGACTTCCCTCTTGGGTATATGAGTGATTCACCGCAAAGAGAAGCGCATTATGAATCAGCTTACTTTTTAATCTCTCGCGGAGACCATTAAAAACCAGCTCAAATGCACTAATCTCCCCGTGCAGGGGAGCACTTTATTTATAGATATGCTTTCCAGCTGTTGCGCCCTGTCTTCATAAACAAAAACCCTTGTGCCGGAGCCGTCATCTAAGGCGCCGATCAAAGCCCACCCCTCCGCGAGAGCTTTTTATTTAAGTCCTACAAGGCCAGAAGGAGCCGTGCAAACAGAACCGATGAGGAATGTCCTGTCAGACGGGGAAGAAGAATAGCAAGCACTTATACCGCAGCGCTTTTTTTTTCCAACACTGGAAAACGGACGTATTAGTGAAATGCCGACTTCCTCAACTGTAACATCTTGCATGATGAGAAGGGACCGACTTGTCTCATCAGCTTTTCAACCGAGTCTGCTCCACGTCAAAGTGAGGAATCATTCGATGAGGACCTGCCGCGTCACTTTGCGTCGTGGGAGCAAACACAAATGTGTGCGAATGATGCAGGGTGAAGTGTGCAACACTTGGTGGTGAAGTGTGCAACACAAAACAAGTGTGCAGTCGCAAATCGGAGATCCTCTCGACACCCGAAGTGGCTCTTTCCGCACGAGTGGGTTGCCTGTGTGGGCAGAGTGACAACACCGCCTCCTAGTGGCCACGTCCACAATCCTCTCAAGATTCTTGAGATGAGAGTTTAGACGTTAAGATTAGATGGCGATAGGATGAAATGAAAATAAATTAATATCTTCCATTCCAGTGTCGTACATCGGGCGAAAAGTGCCTTCTCCACAATAATAGTGAAAGCGTATTTACACCGCATCACAGTCAAAGTCATTATCGTGAAAGAAACATAAACCCGTACTATGTTGCTTCATGACACATATAGAAAATGATTCTCATACTATACGTGCTTTCTATGCTAACAACTATTTAGTTTGTAAGTAGCTGAAATGAACGTTTCATTGTTATCCACCTGCACACGTTGATGAGAAACGTGACGACTCCTCATGACGTCATCACGAGAGGTTATTTCTAATAGTTTACTCGTCGTGATGAGCTCCATGGGAGGGGCGAAACGTTGCAAACAGCTCGCAGTATGACGCCATTCACAAATCATGAATCGCGTTCAACGGAAATCCCGTGTCAATCAAAAAGTGAGAGTTCATCTTTCAAGGCAAATTCATTGTAGCCAATGAGGATCATCTTCTGGCTACGGGCAACAGATAGCGACGCCAATTGGGGGTGAAGAAGTGGAACTCGGAACTTCTGTTCGGACCAACGCACTGAAACCAAAAGCCTCCTTCGAGTCGGGCCTCCTCCGCAATCCCACGTGCTCCCCTTACAAAAGTCACCAACCGCATGCCGCGTCTACTAATCGGCGCCATTAACCCGCTGTTGGGCGCAATTCTACTGCCACGGCCCATCCATCAGTTACATTGATCACGCATGGTCGCCTTTGAGGTGCACATACTCGTCTGTTGCCCGGGAAATGTTGTGCAAAGGAAACCTAATGAGAAACTGTCAGCGGTGCACAGGTAAACAAATCAATGGCACCCGGCGATTCCACCGAGGTCATCTCTCACACACACACACACACACACACACACACACACACACACACACACGCTGCAATACCACTAAACAAACTTGGGGTTAAAAGTGCGGTGAAAGCGTCTGGAGTGCGAAGGGCGCAATCAAAATTGGGATTTTAGCAGTCAAAAACACATTCCGCTCTTTAAAAAGAGCATAGATGGATTTTTTTCAACAGAATTTTCAGGAGACCTTCGGAGGTGGACATTCGTCTGCATTCCATTCAAATGTTGCAGCAATGTGTCCATTATTGGTCGATTTGGAACCAATGGAGGTATTCTACAATGTTTTCACTTTTCTTGGACCAATTCATTGAAGTCCTTTTGAGTCTTAAAGTGAGGACGGAACAGTTTAGCCCACTTTTGTCATGAACGATGGCACAGTGTGTCATGTTTCTGTGTGTCGCACTCATGAACCAGGAAGTAGCTGGCTGAAATAAATACGGACGGGCAAAATAACAGATTCTTTTCTGTTTTGGGAGTGGATATTGTGGGGGGGGGGGGGGGGGTTGCGTTTTGATAAACACTCCCCCCCACTTGAGTGGCACTTAAACTGCCGGTTAATTTTGAGCGTGCGTCTCATCGGTTCACACATTCTACTTTGGATTGTCTCAATGCAAGCCAAAGAGCACTTTAAATTGGAACCGTTGCGAAAGTAATTATGGGGATTCATAGCTCCAGTGACAGAGAGACAATATGGTGCCAAAATGACTTCAAATCTGCCTGTGACTCGACACGTGTCTTTATTTGTTTTGTTTTTTTTGGGCACAAATGGTACAAAGTACGGTCTTCTTGACGCGCCGTCTCTCTGAGCTGTCAGGAGGCTCGTGTCGCTCTTAGGCCCGGACCGCCACTTTCTGCTCCCCATTAGAACTGTCAGCTCCACTCAACGACGGCCTTTAATCACGTCAAATAACATTTCACACGCCAAATCCTCAGCGAAAGACAAACGGCGCATCAAGTGACCCCCAACATCAAACAGAAAAAAAAAACACGTCAGCAAAACCCAAGATGGAAAATGTCACACAAAATGAATGTTTATTAACAGTGTGATGAGTGATCGCTCATGATGGAAGCAATCAAAAGGTGCCATTTTCTGCCTGTCTGATGTTTCATCGTCCAAACTGTATCGTGATCTTTACAGGCCGACGTTCACCGTGACGAACATTGTCGATAGCACCCCGCCGCCCCTCCCAAAGGCTCCATCTTGTATTGACACACAAGTGTATCCAGCAAACATCAAGCTGAGAAGGTTTCACATTGTGCTGTTGTATCCTTTTAACCATTAACTCTCAGTGAAGTCACAGGAGAAAGAATCAACTCCCATTCTAACTCACCCGCACCTTTAAAATGTAAATCCAATGGTGTTATGGTTCAGGAGAGGTAGAATTAGCAGTGGATCCAAGAGCGAACGGGGAGCAGGATAATCGTAGGATCACTTGGTCCGGGGGGTGAAGGAGCAGCGGCAGGCTGGGAAGGCAGGAAGGCACTAGGAAGAGACGCGCAAGAGTAAGCAGTTGTACACCAAACATCCAACAAGGGAAAGCATGTGCGCTAAAAAAAGGCCGACATAGCACTCGTAATTCACGAATCAGCAGAGGTCTCATACACAGGTGGTGAGTGCTGATCAGCTGCAGGTGCGGGAGCAGCCTGAAAATAGAGGAAGCAAAAACAAAGTCCCCGGAAGTGGACCATCAAAATAAATGAGAAAGTCATAATACAAAAACCTAAGTTTAGTATCGTGTGACAGCACATCACAAATGGTCCTAATCAGGAGCCAATTTGCTGTTTGGTTTGTACTGTTGAAGGTGCATGTGACCGGTCAAAGATGTGTGGCGGCGTCTGTGGGTCCACGCTAAGTAGAAGGGGGACAAGGCGGAGGGGTCAAGCGGGCATGCTGAAGGAGAAAAGATGAGAAGAAATGAACAAAATGTGTCTGCTGTAACTCTCCAAAAACGATTACACCTTGTTGATGGCTTTGAAGCACTCTGAGTATGTGAATTATTAAAGCAATATAAGTAATGCATATTGGATACGTGTATTTTTGAATGAAGAATTCATTTTACACATGATTTGGTTTAAAAAAAAAAAAAAAATTGGGACACACGGTCTCTGAGTTTCACTTTTTGAAGTGAACTACGAACCAAAAAAGGTGTACATGGGGGGGATACTGTACTCAAAGTGCTATTTTAGCACTTTCGGGGACAGAGGTTACTGCAGTGGACGGCTATTCAAATGTTGCGTTCTCTGATATTGATTAATCTTTTGGACATTTGGGAATCTGAGTCCGAGTGAATGACACTTGACTTTTGAACAGACTGGTATCGATTGGTCAGCGGGGGAGCAGGTGTTTCCTGTCGAGAACAGGAGCTCCTTCACCTCTCTTACGTTGCACCTCTTCACCCTTTTACGGCTGATGTCCCGGGTCTCCACCCGAGAGGCTCCAGTGCTTGGCGGCAAATCCTCTTTCGGCCTAAGGCGACAACGTCACCCGAGATGAGGTGGGGGAAGCCAGATGCTCGCCTGGTCGGCCGGCTGCCCGCCTGCCTTCGGACTCAATGGCCATCGATTGGAGCAGTAGCGACACTGTGTCCCGGGGAGGGGTAAGCAGATACACCTCATTGCCTCCAACAATCCTGCGGCCCCTGTAAGGACAGGTCGTGGTAAATTAATAGTGTGCTTGCAGCGACTGGATATTGTTAATGTATTTTGCTATCGATGGAGTGAAATAACATGAGTCGCTTCAGCCGTACTTAACACAAAACATAAATCCTCCAAGAGCAATGAGGTTCAAGGCAAGCAGGAAGTGAGTTGTCACGAGCTCGCTGCCGGCCAGGATGTTGGCCGGGTTGCTTTTTGGACTGAAGGGGTTAAATAAATTAACTGATAGAAATCTGAACGTAGTATCCGTGGGAAAAAAATTCAAATAACATTAAATATGAAAATGCTTTACTTTGCTTTTCACTTTCTTATTCAATTTACATTTGTTTAAAATTGAACACAACATACTATATCCGCCCCCCTCCGAGGACTTCAACCCAATCAATTTATTCTACTTCTAAAATAGTGACTAGTTGCATTGGAACAAAATCAGACGTTTTCAATATGGTAGCCGCAGGACAGTGTGATTTCCTGCAGAGATTATTGTGAAAATGATCATTTGAAGATGTGAACACCCGCCAAGCTTCATAAAAATCGTGTTACGTTTTGTTTTGTGATCATAACGTGGAGAGTGTTTTCACTTTGAGAAATATCATGATTGATATTGTGTATTTCAAGGTAATTTGTGATAATGTGTTTTTATTTTCAGGAGTGTGTATGAAACTGGTACGTATTACATGAATAAATTACGACCGAAGAAGTAGCTCTCCGTTTCAAAAAGATGGGAGGAAAAAAAAAAAAAAAAGCTTCATAAAAATCGTGTTACGTTTTGTTTTGTGATCATAACGTGGAGAGTGTTTTCACTTTGAGAAATATCATGATTGATATTGTGTATTTCAAGGTAATTTGTGATAATGTGTTTTTATTTTCAGGAGTGTGTATGAAACTGGTACGTATTACATGAATAAATTACGACCGAAGAAGTAGCTCTCCGTTTCAAAAAGATGGGAGGAAAAAAAAAAAAAACATAAATTCTCCGATGTTTGAGCTGACGGAGCAACGTTGCCATTTCTGATAATTCTCTTCAGATGTAGCAAAAAGTCCTACAAGGAGTGCATGTTACACTTCAATGCGCCGAGAAAATCAGTCTCCCTTGTAATTGCTCTGGGCAATTTCAGACCACACCGAACGACGAGCGAATCAATTTTCCTGGTTAGGTTATAGATTTTCTCCACCGGGGGCTTTTCATAAGTACGAGTGAAGATATGTCACGTGAAATATGAAGAAATCTTGAGAGAAAGCGGAAATACAGAGAGCACATTTTGCTCCGGCGGATCCCAACGGATGCCGCTTTGACGGTAATTGGATGCGTTTTTTAATCATGCCTTCCAATCTGCACGATTGTCGAAGAGTTATCGAGATCATGCTGACGATACAAAGTCGTCACTCGACGCCACGCGGTCCATCATGATGAGAACGGCTCCAGTCTGACCTCTTGTGGGGAATTTTTGCACTGATCACCAACAGTTCAACTGAGGTCATGTCTATTTACCTGATATAAATCAAGTTTACCCTCTGCCTTCATTTGTCAGTCAATATATGCTCGGGCAAGGCGGCGAGTTCCACAGTTCTTGCTCGTGGCATGCACAAAGCCTCCTCTCGGGTAAGTGATGAGCTCGGGCAAAGGAAATAAGGAGGTCAAACCTGTCAAAAAAGAAAAAAAAGAAAACAAGGTGTTCTAATTAAATCATAAATGAAGCTAATGGGTGCATAAATTGTTCGATATGTCAAAAA